CCAAATTGAAAACTCACCCACACAAGATCCAACAACTATACAGCCAATTGCCATGGTAATTCCCGATATTCCAAAACCTCTCACCTCATAAATAAAAAATACAAGCCAAAAGAAGTTGAAGAGACCGAAACCTCTTCAACTGTAAGCTTACCTAATGTCATAGACCGACTTAATGCATGGAAAAAGAGAAAAGCGAAGAAAGCTGAGAAGTCTCTCGAAGAACAAATAGAGGAAGTCGATGCTATTTCTAAGGGGGAAGATTTCAAGGAGAAGGACGACTCCGAGGGGGAAGATGATCAGAAAGCTTTGAGGAAGCAGGCTGAAAGGTATGTTGTAGGCTACAAAATAGATTTTGATTGGTGTAGAAAAGTGAATATTCTGGAATTCCTAGACCTAATAAAATTTTAGGTGTGGGAAGTTCTGTTTTCGGTGAAAGCTAAAAATTATTTATATCCTTTAGCTATGGATGAATTTTGCAAAGAATGTGATTTTGACGAAGGGATGTGTTTCAGTAACATCAATGAGGTAGATATAGAATTTGATGCTGAAAGGAGCAGTAACTGTTGCAGGTTCCTTGTGAGGGGTTTGACACCTATATGAAAGGAGCAGTAACTGTTAAGGTTGCAAGACACACTAAGACTGAAGTAATTAGCTATTTAGGTGGAAGGAAGGATGTGAGTGTTATGAACCACAATGACTTGTCTCCTCTACATAAATTATTCTTCAATCTTGTAAAAAAAATCCTTAGTTCCTAGAACACAATAGAAAAATGAACTCTGTTATTTGGATATGGCCTTAATTTTCTACATATAAAAAAGGATTAAGATTAATTTTCCAGCCTTGATGATGCAACACCTAGAGCACTGTATTTACAAGGAAATAAAGGTGGGATATGCTGCTATCCTTGCTTCAGTGTTTGAGGATCTAGGTGTAAAGCTTGTGGACTTCTATGACCGAAAGAAGGAAAAAGGAGAAAATATTATCAATGAGGATACTCTGAGAGGATTAAATCTAGAGGTTGTCAATGGGAAGTGTGCAAAATATGATGCGAAGAAGAGCAAAAAAAAGGGGGAGAGTTCCCAGCTGAGAGAGCCTATTAGGAAAAGTCGAAGAGTCTCATTTGAAACTCAGGTGAAATCTAATGCTAGTGAGCCCTTGGAACTCAGTGACAGGGAAGATAAAGCTGAAGAGCTGATTAATGATTTGTTTAACAGAATCATGTAAGTGGAAGGAGAGATCCTAGAGGTTATAGGGAGGATGAGGACAACAGAGAAAAGCATTCTGAACCAGGGGAAGGAGTTTTAGAAGATTGTCTCAACCTTGGAGGCCAAGCTAAAGAAGATGGAGGAAGAAATTAAAGCAAACCTTGAGCAGATCCTCAAGACTCTTGAAGCATGACCAGCCTTCACAGTCTACATCCTATCCCTAACCAAATTCCCTGCCTATCTTGATCTTTCTGGATTACGGAACAATGTTATGTTTTTTTTTTTTTTTTTTTTTTTTTTTTTTTTTTTTTTGTAACTTGGTTAGATATTGGAACTTGATTAGATTTTGGTTATTTTGGATCTTGGTTTGTAATAACTTTAATTAATTTGGATGGTTGTTTTGCTTTTATGCTTATATATTCTGGAACTTTGTCTATATATGTATGCATTGCTTGTTGAGAAAATACAAGCTAATTTGTGTGAAAGTACTGGCTTAAGAGAGCTAGTCAGCGCTGCTTCCGACTTCCCACACTCGATGAATTGCTTGTGGGCTGTGAGTAGATGAATAAAACTTTGAAAATTCAGGTTTTTGATAATGCCAAAAGGGGGAAAAGCAGGAGCAAACTTGGAAGCCAAAGTCATTCTATTTCCAGTTGAGTAAGTAACAAAGGTTATTCTCTTCTCTGAATTCATTTTATTCTTTCTGTTTTATTTTTTATTATTTCATTTTGTCGTTGTTTATTTACTTAAAAAATATTAATAAAAAGAAAAAATGAAAAAACTAACATTTTGCTTTACTTTATTATCCTCAGAAGTTTGCTCAGTTTGTCATCATCAAAAAGGGGGAAATTTTTGACCCTTATGAGTTTTGATAGATGATGACGGTTGTGATTGAGCAAACTTCTATCTAATGAGGACTTTCTAGTGTTTTGATGTTTGCAGGTTTAGTAGACTCTAGGAGTTGAAGTAGGAACTGAAGCAGAGGAACTTTAGAAGGTCCAGAATGATTAGTAAAGACAACAGAAGAGTTCCAGAAATGGAACTTCAAGGAGTTTCCTAACAGGAATTTTGCAACGGGTTGTAACGACCCGGTTCAGTGTAATGCTGGGGCAAACATCAACAACAAAGGATCAGAGCAGAGCTTGAGATATCATCCGAAAAAGATGGACTTCAGAACTTAGATTGTATTAAAGATATGTTTGTTTTTCTAAGATGATGTAAATATATATCTGGTTGTTATGCATGGAACTTATTCGAAATCGGATAGAGCTTGGCATAGTAAGTAATTCGTAAAAGATAAGCTTAGGTTTATGAAAAAGTATTTTATTTGATTTTATCTTTTAAAATCTGATTTACTTCGTTTTATCTTTTTCATAAAACTTTATCTTTTAATTAAAACGAATTTGATTAAAAAAAGGGTTTTCCTAAAAATGAAATTAAATTTGTTTGATTTTGGTTTTCAAATGATAAGAATGAATTTCTGTTTGAACTTATCATTTTGCTAAACCCTACTTTATGAACTGAGGAACTTCTATAAATATAAAAGTAATGCAGCGAAGTAAAATGAGAGTTTTAAGAGTGAAAACCACTTAGTGCTTAAGAGTAAGTTTGCTTAAGGTTTAAGCTTTATCATTTTGATTTTGGGTTTCATGTGTAGCTTTCCATTTATACATTAGAGTGAGTCTTTGTGTTGTAATTGGTTTTTGGGGAGTTTGTGAACTATTGATAATTCACATTTTATTGGAGGAGTGTGTCTTCTCTAAAGTTCAAGTGATAGTAATGAGAGCACAGTGAGTAAGCTTCAGTGAGAAAGCGGATTGTACGCACTTGAGTAGTGTTGAGGGAATCTGAGTGGATCTCAGATCGGGTAGGATGTGTTCATATCAGGTAGCAAGTGTCCTTAGTAGAACTTGTGAGAAAGGTCTGTATTAATAGGTTGTACTAGGAGAGTTGCCTATTATAGTGGAGTTTGTTTGAAAGTCCCGAGAAGGGTCGAGGTTTTACTTCCAGTTAGGCCCTGAAAGGTTTCTTCGTAAAATCTTGTTGTGTTCTTTAAATTCATATGGCCTTTTATGTTTTGTTTTAATTTCCGCATAAGTTTCACAATTGGAACCTACTACTATTCACCCCCTCTCTCGTAGTAGTTCATCTAAACTAACACAAAATACTCCAGGAGTAAGATATAAATTGCGCAAAACCATTCAAAAAGTACATGAAATCACTTTAGAAATAAACAACATTTTTTAAAGTTTAAAAATTATGAAAATATTTGTAATGACATTGAATACAGGAAGAACATCTAATTACAATAATTTAATGGCTCAGGTTTGTCTCTTTGTTCTCATTTTAAGTTATGCATTAGTTTCTAATTCACCAAGCATATACAAGTTTATCTCCTTGATAAACAAAATATGTTTATCAAATGACAAAACTGTAAATAAATCAAATTTTTTTTTTATTAAAAGTGGACTCTATAATAGTTGTTTTATTTACAAAAATGTCTTGATGACTATAAAATAAAGGAGAAATTGTCAAAAATAATACAAACTTTAAGCGGTCCGCTAAAAACAATTCATATTTTTGATTATTTCTAAAAAATACAAACTTTATAGGGTATCCGCTGAAAACAGGTTATAAATGTTTTGTAACCTAATCAATAGGTTACATATGACATGTGTCATAATCTTATTTGTTTGACAATATAATTTGATTATTTATTTATTTAATGTTTTTAATTTTTAAAAGATTATCATATGTATATATATTTATTTAATTAATTAGTTTATCTTTTAAAAATTAAACCCACTCCCCCACAAGCCACACTGCCACCATTCCTGGCGCCGGGCCGCCGGCAGCGCCCATTTTCCCCTCCCTGGACTCCGGCGCCAACGCTGATCGTACTCCCCCTGTGCATTTCCTTTCCCTCCTAAACCAGCAACCTCCTCACTCCCCGATTCCCCTTTCCTTACCGCACAAAATCCCCTAAAATCCATCCATCACCATTAGAACCCTAACCGAAACTGTCGCCGACGATTAGGGAGGTTCGGTTAGGGTTTTTTGAGGGTGGGGGATGGGTTTTAGGGAGTCTCATGGGTTAGAGAGAGGAGTTTCGTGTGTCAGGGAGAGAAGTTTCGTGGGTTTCGGGTAGAGGGCTGATGGTTCAGGGAAAAAGGGAAAGGGTCGGCACCAGCGCCGACGCCGGGGGAGGGAGATCTGGGCGCGACCGGCGCGCCAGCGCCGGTGGGCAGGGAGTGGCGCAACAGAACGCCGGAGAAAGGGAAGAAGGTGGAAGCGTTGGCTGGTGGGCGGGAGATGTTTTATTTTTTAATAATTTTTTTTATAAATTATCTTTAATGGTTAACCATTATGAAAGTTTAATTAAGAGTTAATTAAAGAGTTAAAGTTTTTTTAAAAAAAATTATATGAAATTATTAAAAAAATATATATAAAGTATAACCGTTCATTAAGGTTACAAGTAAAATATCTCGATTAAAGCGGATATCTTATAAAGTTTGTATTATTTAGAAATAATCAAAAGTTTGACTTGTTTTTAACGGACCACGTACAGTTTGTATTATTTTAGATAATTTTTCCTAAAATAAACCCCACAATAGATGATTTGATAACAAATATGTCGACTAGGAAAAATTGTTGATTTATTTATTGTTTTGCCATTTGATAAACGAATTTTGTTTATCAAGCAGATAAATTGGGGTTTCGTCTAATTCACCTAGTTCAATAAGCGTATTATAAAATGAAATTGGCATAATTTTTTTTAAAAAAAATTTGTGAAAAATGTAGGAAGTCACGTGATGAGAGAGAAATAGAAATTCCATATGAACAACTTAACAAAGTCTTACATCCACCCCACGAATTACCACAAGTTCTCTGTTTCCCACCTCTTTCCCTCTCTCCTCTTCCCCTTAATTTTAATTTTAATTAAAACCCCCAAATATAAATAAACCCAAACAAACCCTCCTATATTCAAAATTCACACATTTTCATAATCCTTTTCTTCTTCATCTTCTTCCTCGAAAATTCTCCCCATTTTCAGAGGAGAGAGAAAGCTCGGTAACACCCGATAATGGCGGCCTACAGAGCAGAAGACGACTACGATTACTTGTTCAAAGTAGTATTAATTGGCGATTCTGGCGTCGGAAAATCCAACCTTCTCTCTCGTTTCACCCGCAATGAGTTTAACCTTGAATCCAAATCAACCATCGGCGTCGAATTCGCTACTCGCAGCATTCATGTTGATGATAAGATTGTTAAAGCTCAGATTTGGGATACTGCTGGTCAGGAAAGGTAATTTAGTTTTGTGATTTTGCATGCATTTTGATTTTTGAGTTTTTTTGTATAATTGATCTTTGGATTGTTTGTTTTTGAGCCCTAATTTTGTGTTTATTTTGTGCATTTTGGAATTTTTTTTGACTTGTTCTACGATTTTATGGTCTTTGGTCAATGGTGTTGCTGAATTATGCATTTTTGATTAGCTGTTGACTATTTCTTTGGAATTAGGTTTATTTCATTTGACTTAATTTTGATTGGAAAGTGGATAATAATTAATTGATTAGCCATTTGCTGTTTTTTGTTTGATGCTGTAATTGAAATTTGGATATATTTTGACCTGACCCTGGATTATGAGTTTTTATGCATGACTATAATTTGAATTTGCTAATTGCAAAGAAGGGGAATGCTCGAATAATCGAATACACAGATTGGTGGAGAGGCATTGATCGTTGAGCTCAGGGATCAATCTTAGACAAATGTTGATTTTGTTTGATTTTCTGAATGAGTGGTTTTCGCTTAAAAAGGATGGGAGAATTGTGGGGGTTGAGAAGAGGAATAATGTTGCTAGTTTTTGACTATTTGATGTGTATATTTTGATGTTCATTTTCGCTTTGTGTTGCGTCACGTTTTCTAATTATATGATAATATTAGCCTGAAATGAAGTGTGTTGATATTGGTATGCATGATGGCTTTATGTTTTAGCCATCTGGGAGGATACAATTCGTGTCATTTGTTATCCTCGTTAAGTGTCTTGAGGGTAAGTATATCCAGCTCTGTATATGTTTGTGTAAGAAAATTATATGAAAACTTGTATGGCGCAACAATAGAAATAAACTTATATTGTTGTACTTACATATTGCAAAGAGATGATAAATTGTTGAATTATCCTAAGCTGCATGAATGAAGATGTTCTATAAGGGCCAATAAGGCTGCTAAGAAAGGAGGTCCTTGCTTAAGATGGTAGCAGTAGTAGTGGTGGTAGGATCAGTGAAAGAATATGTTTGTGTTATGAGGAATGATATCAAGAGAGTAACTTTCAGGGTTGGAAGTCAGTAGAATCGGCTCGTGTTCTGGTTTTAGTTATGCAAGCTCAGCATGCTTTTTGATGAGTTTAATCAGTGGAAGAAACATTAATTCATACTCAACTTATAACATATCATTTGGAAGAGACAATACTTATGAACCTTTGGTCATTATATGAGAATTCATTCTTGGAAGTGGATTGGTGCTATATTTTTAGAATTAAATTTCAAACCATAACTAGCAATTTTGGTACAAATATTTTTAAAGGTTGCTTTATTCATTGTACTTTGTATGAATTACATTACTTTTGTTGTTTATTTTTTATTGAACTTTGAAAGTTTGGTCTGGTTAAGGTCCTTGTCCTGTAAAAAGGATCAATAAATATCTGTTTATGTGATGATAAGTATTAATTATGACAATATCTGTCTAATGCTGCTCATCCTTATTCCTTACTGTATTTGGGTAGTCAAGGATTGGGTGTCAAGTATAAGAACTTAACTGTAATTTGTTGATCAAGCATTTCCTATTTTTACAGTAAATTTTCTTAGGCTGTCGACATTATAGTGATTATCTTTTGTGTTTCCGTTTGTTAAAATATACATTTTGTGTCAAACTTTGTCCATCAATTCATGAAAATATACGCTGAATCATAAAATAGGCGTAATATGCTGGCTTCTCTTGTTTAAAATTTTAGTTTTTCGTAGCTGTTTCCTTCTCTTAAGGTGTCGTTAATATTCGTCTTTACTCAAAGTTTTTTTTGCATTGGTTGTCATTAATCTCTAAACAATGGTCACTCCTTTCCTCATGTTGGTAATTGAAGGTACCGTGCTATCACTAGTGCATACTACAGAGGGGCTGTTGGTGCTCTATTGGTCTATGATGTTACCAGGCATGTAACATTTGAGAACATTGAGAGATGGTTAAAGGAATTGCGAGATCATACAGATTCCAGCATCGTGATAATGCTCGTGGCAAACAAGGCAGATTTGAGGCACTTGCGTGCTGTTGCTACTGAGGATGCCAAGGCCTTTGCAGAAAGAGAGAACCTCTTCTTCATGGAGACCTCTGCTCTTGAATCTTTGAACGTTGAAAACGCATTTAGTGAAGTCCTCACCCAAGTATATCATGTTGTCTGCCGCAAAGCACTTGATGTTGGGGGTGACCCAACTGCCTTGCCAAAGGGTCAAACCATTGATATCGGTAAGGATGATGTATCTGAAGTGAAAAAGGTTAGTTGCTGTTCTGCCTGATCCAGCTGTAAGATAATCGAGATGTTTATCTCATCGCACAGGAAATTTTGTAAAGTTCTCACAGAAAGCCATGGTTTTGTGAAAATCATTCAAAGTATACATTTATATTCATTTCAGAACTTTGAAGAGGCCAGATTATTGAAGTACAGAGGGATATGCTTATTTGGTTTTATGTTCCTTCTCTGCTTATGGTAATTTGTGTTTGCTCGTCTTATACGGAGTACTATCTACAGACATACAGGACTAATAATAGCTTAGACATGTTTACAGAATGCATTTGATAAGCAGTGAAAATTTTCCAGAATTTTATTGGCGTTGAACACTATTTTCATACGAGCAAGTAGACAGACTTAGAAAAACTAACTCGCACCGTATACATGTGAATGATGCGAAACACTAAGGATCCAATATTATAATGCAAGATGATAATTGTATAGAAGTTTAACAAAGTGTGAAGTTTTATGTGGATGAAAAATTAATTGCAGGTTTCAAATATTGTTGAAAGTCAATTAGTAGTTGGCATGTCTTGTGCATTCAAAGGAGAATCGATGGTAATATCATTATTTTTTAGAAAAATCTTATGACTAATAATCATCATTGAGGAAATAAACTACACGTCTACGCACATCATTAAGTATACAGGTGGATTAAGTTAAGTTAGCACAATGATTTTGGTTGTTCAAGCACCATTGTACCAACAATTAATTAAATCAGCTATATATGTCTAATAAGGTAGTTGTTCCAACTTAATATATTTTAGATTGAACGTTGGATATACAACATTTTCTTTAGGATTACATTAATAAAGCACGACAATACATTATTCGACTCACTTGTCAAAGTAACCATCTCTTCCAAACCGAAAACTGAATCATCAAAAATCATTACCTTATTGCTTGTGATTCTAAATTCAGAAATTACATGAACCAAATCAACATGATTAAATATTTAAATAGCATGATTTACAAAGAAATTGTACTTCTTTCACTGAGAACATGCATATCAGGATCAAAATCATGATTAAAGCTAAGTCAACTAATTAGAGCAATTGATGGTTAAAAAACTGACTTGTTACTAACTCAAAGTAAAATAATTTGTCTTCATAAGTAGAAAAGACTCAAAGTAGAACAAAGTTTTCACATGAATAGGACATTAGGACTAACATGCATGCTCTAAATTATACGAGGTTGTACAGCGTATGTATAATATTTGGTGCATTGCCATTACATTTGGATTATCAAGGGTGGTTAACTGGTTATTAAGTTTTCATAGCTATACTTTAAGCCAAATAAAGGTAGCTAGTAAATAATATCCTACGTTATTACTTCACTTGTAGTATTAGACATGCTTGTACGTTAACAGTAATAATATCTTTGATTTACACTGATTTTGTGGTGGGGGTGTTAGTTATATCAAATAATGCCCTATATTGAGGTAACAGCCTATTAGTTCTCTTGATTTCATTACATTCCTTTGTTATGAGTCTCTTGTATAGTCGTACTTGATGGAAATAGGTAATGCAAACGGATGCTCGCGCCCGTTCGGGCGGAGGTGGCCAAGAAAAATAGGAGTACTCTCGCGTCCGATCGGGCAGCCCTCGCCCGACCGAGCGGCGGACTCGAGTTTTTGACGAGCCCGATCGGGCGGCTTCGCCCGATGGCTTGCCCGGGATGGGGTTTCTAGATCGCCCGACCGGGCGGTGTTCGCCCAATCGGGCGCGACACCAGGTCTGGAGAAACTTAATCTCGCGCCCGATCGGGCGACTGCTTGCCCGATTGGGCCCGCCTTTTTCCTAGGTCGGCTTGCTTTGCGTATTTCCTTTTTCCGAGACTCATATAAATACGAGCCTTGCCTTTTCATGAGATTATTCACTTTCTAGCCGAAAACACAAACCTACCTTTTGAGATCTGAACAGTTCTTGAGCAATTCCACTCTTCGAGTTCGGGTGCACGGATTACAGAGAGAGTTGCGTTAAACTTGGGGGGCGTGTGTCACTAGGAAACTTGTACCGGTGGTGGTGTATTCCGCTTCTAAGGCAGTGGATTTTGTTCCACGGCGCAACTGTGAGTTTGGGATCTTCAATCCAGGAAAGTTTTAATCTTTGTTTGTTATTGATTTCAACAGTTATTTTACCAACAATTTAGAAGCGAAATATATTTGATTTATTCTGTTGATATCATGACAAGCAATTCTCAAACTCGTCTATACCTAGATCTGTCTAAGGTTGAGTCTCTTGATGGAATTAATTATAAGAGATGGTCCCAAAGGATGTTGATTGCTTTTGAACAAGTAGAAATTGATTATGTTTTGTTTAGAGATGCTCCAAACCTATTGAGCAAACCAATACCATGATTGAAATTCCTAGTACTCTTGTTCCTGGGAATAAAGAATTTAGCTCTAGTCAAAGGACCTCTACTGTTATTGTTAATGAATCTGAAATTAAGAAATTTGATCGTGATAATAAATTTGTTAGAGGTCATCTTTTGAACAACATGAAAAACAACATATTTGATTTGTATGTTAATATGAAATCTGCTAAGGAGATGTGGGAGTCTTTAAAGAAGTAATATGGTGCTGATGATGCTGGGAAAAAGAAGTATGTGACTGGGTTGAATTTCAAATTGGTTAATACAAAGCCTATTATGGACCAAGTCCATGTGTATGAAAATTATGTTGCTGAAATTCTTGCTCAGGGTATGAAGATGTGTGAAATCTTTCAGGCTAATGTTTTGATTGAAAAATTACCTGATTCCTGGTCTGATTATAGAAATCACCTCAAGCATAAAAAGAGGGATTTAACCCTAGAAGAACTTGTGAGCCACATGAAGATTGAGGAAGCCAACAGGATTAAGGATGTTTCCTCTAAGCCAAAGAATGTGTTAGCAATCAAGGCTAACCTTGTTGAATCTGGTGCTGACTCTGACAATAAAGCAGGTGATAATCGTGCCAAGAAGGGGAGCTCTGATAAGAAGGGAAATCTCCAAGCTAAGGGCAAGATTGGGAAGAAAGTCACTGTCAAGTGTTGGTCATGTGGTGAAGTGGGGCACTTTGCTTCACAATGCAAAAACAAGAAGAAGAAAAATCTGAAATCGAGTGGAGGGAACAAGGGTCAGGCTCATCTGGTTGAGAATGAGGATGAAGATGTCATCGCTGCAGTTGTTTCTGAAGTCAACCTGGTTGAGAACAACAGTGAATGGATCGTTGACACTGGTGCATCTAAACACTTCTGTGCTAACAAGGACCTGTTTGTCAGTATGGAAGAAGCAAAGGAAGGTGAACAAGTCTACATGGGAAATTCAAGCAGCTCTGAGGTACTTGGAAAGGGCAAAGTGGTTCTGAAGCTGACTTCAGGGAAGACCTTGGCTCTTCACAATGTGCTGTATGTTCCTTCTCTTCGTAGAAATTTAATTTCTGGTGCTTTGTTGAACAAAGTAGGAGTTAAGTTAGTCTTTGATGCTAATAAATTTTTGTTAACCCGTAATGGGGAGTATGTTGGAAAGGGTAACCTTAGTGGAGGCTTATTTGTTCTTGAGATTGTAACTGTTCCTTCAATGAATAAGATTTGTACTTCTGCTTATATTGTTGAGTCCTTTTAATTATGGCATAGTAGATTGGGTCATGTTGGTGCAACAAAATTAAAACAAATGAAAAGTTTAAATTTGCTCCCAAATATGTCATTAGATGGATTTGAAAAATGTGAAGTGTGTGCGGAGTCTAAATTCGTGAAGAAACCCTAAAAATCTGTCACGAAGAGAGAGACCACACCACTTGAGCTAATTCATTCAGATTTAGCAGACTTTAAGAACTTGGAAAGTAGAGGCGGGAAACGCTACTATATCACCTTCGTTGATGATTGTTCGAGATATAGCAAGGTGTATATTTTAAGGACAAAGGATGAAGCTGAGTCCAAGTTTCTTGTGTATAAGGCTGAGGTAGAAAATCAGTTGGAGCGGAAAATAAAGAGAGTTCGCTCAGATAGGGGTGGAGAATATGGCTCTGATTTCCTTAAGGAATTGTGTGAAAGTGAGGGAATCATTCATGAAGTATCTGCCCCGTATACTCCGCAGAAAAATGGTGTGGTAGAGAGGAAAAATAGGACCTTGAAGGAAATGATGAATGCAATGCTTCTGAGTTCCGGGTTGCCAGAAAATTTGTGGGGTGAAGCGGTTCTATCAGCTAATTATGTATAGAACAGAGTAACTCACAAGAAGTTAGACAAGACTCCATATGAAATATGGAAGGGTTATGCTCCAAACTTGAATCACATGAAAGTGTGGGGGTGTCTAGCTAAGGTGGGCTATCCTTCATTCAAGCGCTCAACTATAGGTTCTAGGACCTATGATACAGTATTCATTGACTATGCTGAGAATAGTGCCGCATACAGGTTTATGAGTCTAGAAGATCGCTCTATATCTACATCTCGTGATGCAGAGTTCTTTGAACAGGTATTCCCTTTGAAGAAAAACTTGGTTACTAACAATGTTTCTTCAGTTTCTTCATCTGCAGAGCCAGAAGATGCTTCCCCTAGGATTGAAAGTGAGATTCAACCTAGGAGAAGTAAAAGGCAAAGAGTGGAGACAAGCTTTGGACCTGATTTCCTAACAGACTTTATAGCAGAGTGCGGAAATCTAGGTGAATTCGAAGATGATCTAGATGAGATCATGCTGTGTCTACAGGTTATGGATGAAGATCCGAAATCGTTTGAAGAAGCTATGAGTTCAGTAGATGCAACCTTCTGGTAACAGTGAGCTTGACTCAATCATGTCAAATAGAACATGGGAGCTTGTGGACCTGCCAAAAGGGAGCAGAGCTATTGGGTGCAAGTGGATTTTCAAGAGAAAAATGAGAACCGACGGCACCGTGGAAAGGTTCAAAGCTAGATTGATGATAAGAGGATTCACTCAAAATTTTGGCCTTGATTATTTTTATACTTATTCTCCTGTGACTAAAATTGCCACTATTCGTGTTTTGTTTACCTTAGCTTCATCTTACAACTTGATTGTGCATTAGATGGATGTTAAGACATCCTTTCTGAATGGCGATTTGGAGGAGGAGATCTACATGGAGCAACCTCCGGGTTTTGTAGTTCCTGGCATGGAGAATAAGGTGTGCAGACTAAAGAAATCCTTGTATGGCTTGAAACAAGCTTCGAAGCAATGGTATGAAAAATTT